CAATGCATCAACTACTCGCAACCGAAAAATAAATCATCAAAATTTTCGGCGTTCGAGTACTGGCACCGAATACTCGGAACGAAAACTGACCCGTGTATAAGCACCTTAACGCTGCAAGAGGAGCAACATTCGGCAACGCCACGAAAGGGGGCAAATATGACAACGCAGCACTCACCGAGGTAAGCGTAGGATGACTTGGCCTTCCCCGGCAGCGCCAGCACCGTCGTAACGAGGGCCTGGGAGGACCACGGCCTGCGTGTGCCCCAGATGAGAGTACCTGGGTTACGGAGGACATGTGGGTGTTCCATTAGCCCCTACATATAAAAAGGCAAGGTATAGGAGGCATGGTAGTGTATAGGAGGCAGGCTAGATTAGAGATGGTATGGTAGTGTATCACGAGGTATATTATAGTAACCATGGTGGGATATATATAACAAAGCATTTGAGGATCAAAGTCTGGGACGCCATTTGGGGGGCTTCAAACGAGGGCTTCAATTTTGCACTTTTCACGTATATCTGCATGCACGTGTGACGATAGGTTACGAGAAAACTTTTTTGCTATGCAAGATTTAAATGCGACAACAACATGAAATTCCACAGAAATAGTTCCATTCCGGAAGATGGAACACATCTACCTTGGCCATGCCTTCAAAAAAGTTAAGTGATCGTAAGTTCATTAGCCAATCGTTGACGGCCTTTCAAGGAAAATCCACCAATCATAGATAAGAAAATAGAGCGTAAGTACTTACGTTCACTTAGCCAGTTTTGAAAGTATGGCCCACCGTATGGCCCCTGGCACCGAAGTTCGTTTGAACCAGACATTACCATAAATGTATCGTATAATAATAATATTCACTGTAGAGGACGCGGGAGATCATATGTCAATCTGTACACATGCAAAACAATAACTGAACTAGCTCCAAACTTTCATAGTGTGACCTTCAGGTACGACAACAGATTTTACAACAGAGCTGCGATCAAATTTCAATCTGTGCCGGAAGGATCTCTTTCCGTGGCAGGACCGAGTTTAGTCGTGTTAATGGAGCTAATAAGATGCGAGCACATCCTTGAGACCTTTAGGAGACGACTGGACGTGGACCAATGCACAATCTCTGATCGCTCGCCTCTGTACCACCACCAGCGGCATGAAGTAAGCAACAGCATCGTGCATCAGCTGGTCAAACTTAGATGCACAGTAATTTCAGGCTAGCAAAATGATATACAATCCTCGTTGGCACGAGATGGGAGCAAGCAGGAATGGGTCATAGCTGCTGTCTTGACCCACTTGCTCGCTTGCACACCAAATAGTGCCAATCGGTCACCCACCTGTTTCTAGTACACCCACTGCTTCTGGTACACCCACCTGCTCCTGGTACACCCACTGCTTCTGGTACACCCACCTGCTTCTGGTACCCGCACCCGCTTCTGGTACACTCAACTGCCCACACGTACACTCACCTGCCCACATGTACACTCACCTGCCCACATGTACACCCACCTGCCCACATGTACACTCCCGGTGCCCCGATGACGACGTTGCCCAAGTCCTGCGGGAGGAAAAAAAATCTAATGGGTTATATTGTCCAAATAATGACGCACTTTTATAGCACGTAGCACTGATACGTTCTCTTGCCGGTCCAAGCTAGGTCAGGATGGCCAATAAAGTGCATCGATATTTGGACAAAGTCTCCTAATTTCTCTCGGTGAAGGCATGGGAGACGGGACATTGCGGAGCTGGACAGTCCACTTCGTACTTACCACATTACCACACGTAAGTACCACATTACCACACGTAAGTACCACATTACTACACGTAAGTACCGCACTCGTGGTACTGGTACTCACCTGCATGACGGCTGCGGACATACCAGCCTGGCCGTACTTGTAGTTGTAGAGCCTCTCCCCCGTACCAGGTTCCACGGCCAGCTGGTCTCCTGTGGGGTACAGACGTGAGTGGTACCACTTGGTGGTGCTTAGGGGACAACAGAAGGGACAACTTTGTCCCTTAGAGGGGACAAAAGGGGCTAAATCAACAAGGACACTGCTAACAAGCCACACAAAGGAGCATCAACACAAACCCACAGTCACACAAAACAACACATTCATCATACAACACACACATGTAACCAGGATTCTAGGTGTCACTCGCAGCATTTCCTTGTCTTTCGAGCCACACGTACAGAACATACAACAAAATGCAGACCAAGGCGCATTTAGAGCTCCCGCAGGAACAGCATTCAGACAGAACATGGAGACCCTTTGTGTACAAACAGGACAAACGATCATTGCTGGTCTGTGCCTTTTCAACCTAGTCACCCATTATTTCACCCACACTCCACAACCACATGCTGCCCATGCAAAACTCAGCACCCAGAATGGCAATAGGTAGCACCCAGACCCCAACATCCAGTCATATTCATGCTGAAACAAAAGTTCGCCTCCTAAACATGACTTCACCTCGATAAGGCATCACCTCTGTAGATGTCCTCGCCATGAGAGGCCCCAATTCCTTGCATCGGCATTCCTCAACCCCCTCATCCCCTGGCAATACCCTGCCATCACCTTTAGAACCTTCAACCCCCTCATACCCTGCCACCACCTTCAGAACCTACCCCCAGTACCCACCTAAATCACTAATACTCCTGATAATCATTACCTCACAATACTAAACTTTTTACTCCCGTCCACAGACTCAGCAAACTTAAAAAATATACACACACATTTGAGCGGGAACGCACTCTAGAATCCACCAATTAACATCATAGACGACACACCGCCAGACATCAGCCATGCAGACCCTGCAGACAGGGTGCACCTTGAGGGATGCGGGGGACATATACCACTGCCCGCTGGCCACCATTCCTCACTAAACTCTTACAAACACCGCCTGGACAGCACTCACTCGGACCTGTGCCCCCAATGTCATGCACTCCTCCACACCGTCAAGCATCTTCTGCTTGATGCCCGGAGCTGGCAGCACCCAGGCTCACGATCGGCATTAACATCCGTTGCACAGCTATGGTCCTGTCTCTTATACACATCTAGATGTGTATAAGAGNAATAGCGTAGTATGGCGGTGTTGGTGTTGATTAGTACGTTAAATATGTTGCTGGGCCTATACTTTCAGAAAAAGTTAAGAGATCGTAAGTTCATCAGCCAATTATTGACGTCCTTTCAAGCAAAATCCACCAATCATGGAAAAGAAAATGGAGTGTAAGTACTTACGTTCACTTAGCGAGTTCTGAAAGTATGGCCCATGGCTCATAAAATAGCAAAATTTTCACCGCTGGTTGCGGTCTCGAACACGCAAATCACTGCTACAATTTATCTGCGCTTAACCGCCCGGATACCTCGCCGATTTGACTAGAACTTTTGCACAGAACTGGGATCGAACCAGCAACTTACTGCTACTGTCTTGGCACTCTTAAGGGATGAGGGGGAAGGGTGAGGGGGAAGGGTGAGGGGGAAGGGTGAGGGGGAAGGGTGAGGGGGAAGGGTGAGGGGGAAGGGTGAGGGGGAAGGGTGAGGGGGAAGGGTGAGATTTCTGACTTCCTGCAGCCTATGAGGTTATGTTAGGTCCGCTCAGGTCTGTTTTGGGTGGAGAAATGTTGAAACTTGTGTAGATTAGGCCGGAAGGGATTTGGCCAGATGCAGTATGGCCAATTGGCCATGCTAACCTTCAGCAAGCATAAGTTGTCGCTGTGGACATCCGGCGCTATGGCTTTGAGCACTTGACTTCATAGGCTGTTATGCTCTCTAGCGTTCTTGCCTACGGAAACGAATATGTGTAATAATAAATGTGAAGTTTGACAGAGCTGGCCTCCGCCATGCGCCCCATATTGAAACACCAAGGCGGCTGGCTGGCGAGAGAACTCTATTGGCCGTTTCTGCAACTACTTCTGCTGCCGTCCAATTCCGCGTTTTAATAGGTTAAAAATCATTTTGAATATTTCTCTTTCCATTGGTGTATACATTTTTGATTCTGAGTTTATATTTAAATATATACGGATTTATTAAATTGGGTTCATCATTTAGAATAACACTGTATAATAAATATCAAACAAATTATCTATATAACATATATCAAAACACAGTGGCAATGCAATGAATATCAAACACAACAACATTATAATACATATCAAACACCATAGCTCTAACCGCTGTTTTCCAGCCAATGGTTGGTCAAAATTAACGATGTCTAAACTATGAATATCCTAAACGATGATCTTCACGTTACAGTCATTGAGGAGCAATTCAGACAAGTAGCCAATGAAACTTAGTGAAGAAACAGTGAAAGTTTGATTTCAGAAGCAAAGGCCCGGTAACATTCGGTCACTGGCACAGTGAAACACAGGCCACGATGAAATGCTACAATCAGAGACCAAGGTCATTAGCCACAGTGGTTAGAATTGATTTGCATAAGTCTGCTTAGGGTAAATGCACACAATTAGATAGTAATAACTATTAGTACAAATTTATTAATAGAGCTCATAATTCGAATCGATGTCACACAACGTAGCTCAATTAAACTTAGCGTCTTCATGCCATAAGGTTAAAATCTTTAAAGGCAGGGTGGCCCAGTGGTTAAAAGTTCAGAGTACCAAGATTGGCGCAGAGAGGCGCGGGTTCGATCCCAGCTCTGTGCGCCAGTTTCTGGTCAGAATCGGCGAGGAGGCCGGGCGGTTAAGCACAGCAGAATTGGAGCAGTGAGTTGCGAGTTCGAGACCGCAAAATGCTGTGAATGTTCTGTGATGTTAAGAATCGGCGACAGGCCTACGGCCTAATAAACGCCGAAACCGCTATTATTATTATTATTATTAAAACGTACCGGTCAGCGTCGAGGCCAAAAAATGACTCGTGTTGACGAACCGTTAATTACTGACACATAGTTAAACGAACAAGTGACGTACGAGATGCGTATAAGCTGCAGCTACAATAACAATACAATAAATATGAAGCGGTTTCCCATCACGAATAATTATGCCCCTAGCGCCACTTACGGTCTGGCGGGCGCTGATTGGCGAGGGCAGACGACATGTGACCGCGGCTGATTGGCCGCCACCGGCAGGCGTGAGCGTGCACTCGACAGGAGCGTGACGTGCCGTAACGTGCCTGGGCAACCGCAACTGTCGCCGGGGGAGGAGGGGTTTAGACTTTAGGGCAATATGCGTTCGAACCAGACAAATTATACTAATATCAGTATAAATTGCATTATTCGTTTTCAATGACTCAATTTAGAGAAGTACACATATTTTAAAGTCGATCAGATGATTAATTTCTTTTACTAAACACCAGGGAGGAGTTGAAGGCTGGGACTTACCGCTATAGATGAGTTGTAGGCGTGAACAACCACCAGGCAAGAATTGTAGGCGAAGACTTACCTCTAAAGATAAGTTTATGACGGGAACTCACCACTAGGGAGGCGTTATAGGCGGGGTCATCTTCCACCAGCACCGTCACCTCCACCAACAGCGGCGCGTCTGTGCCCAGCACCCAGTGCGTCAACCCCCTGGGGAGGAAGTGGCTCTACACATGAAGTTCCTTAGCTTGAATAGGTGTCATTTTCTCCTGGAGTATTTCCTTCAAGGCATTCAGATCCCCCCAGATAACTCAGGAGTTTTAGGCACCGCCCCGACCGTGCTGAAGCACCACCCTCGACTGCTACCAAGCGCCACTCATAAGTGAACCCGTGAATTAAATTAGGTTAGCTTCCCATGGCTCGAACTAACGGCTAGTTCCCCCATCTCGTGGCTGTTACCACTGGGCTTCAGTTTAATCTTAGCAGTGGTTGGCTAGAGCTCTCTCGGTCCCTGGACCTTCTCCTCTCCGGATGTGGAGAGGAGAATGTTGCCCCTTTCTCTCTAAAGGCGTATGTTGCCTTTTTAGCGTATGTTGCCTCTAGAGGCGTATGTTGCCTCTAGGCGTATGTTGCCTCTAGGCGTATGTTGCCCCTTTCTCTCTAGACTCTCGGCTTACCCCCCAAGAACTGTGCGCACCAGAAGACGAGGGTGGCAGGCGTCGCCCCCACAGCCCGGAGCCATCACCGCCGTCGCCACCGCACGCGTTACCGAGTCCCGTCGCAGCGCTGGTGGGAGGGGTTGAAAGATTATTAATCGCACTAGTGCGAGGTATTATAGCACCTGTCTCTTATACACATCTAGATGTGTATAAGAGACAGGNTGTAGGGCCTGGCCATGTCAAGTTAATAGCACTTCGTCTTTTGTGTCCTTGCGAAGCTGACTGAGCTATTAACCGCAGTACACTCATCTCAGGGACCAGTACAGTTTAGTGCCGTGTCATTTAATTTGTGGCATTGTGGCTTTTTTTCATTATTATAATATAACCTTCAGGTCTTATTCATGAGATGTTTATTTATTCGTGATATTTCTTCATCTCTTATAGGGCAGAGCGGAGTCCCTTTCATTTGCAATTCCTCCAATTACGTTTAGGATTTTTAGCTGCTGGGTTTACAAGGCTTGTTCAAAATACTAGTAAAGACAGTAAAGACTGATTGAATTATGATTGAACCCATGACATCATATTACAGGGGACATAACAGGAGCAATATCAGGCATTAGGCAAAAGAACAGCCTAAATAACGATGATAACAATAGGATAGACAATAACAACGGCAAGGATGACGAGAATACGGGTAACAACGAGGATTGCAGGGGATATAACTGTATAACAGGTAATTTGAATTACATATAACGCGAGGTCGTATTTTATTCACAAATGAACATTAAGGTGCTTGCACACGGGGTAAGTTGTGACGGCCAGTGCAACTTTAAAATACTTACCACCACTATTTACCGTGCTAATGGCCTCGTATATTTCCGTGAGGCATAGATTGCCCAATACCATCTATTTATCACGGAAGGATCTGGTAAGCCTTTACACCAGGGCCTATACTTTAAAAAACAGTTAAGAGATCGTAAGTTCATCAGCAATTGATGGCCTTTCAAGCAAAATCCACCACCAATCATAGACAAGAAAATACAGCGTAAGTACTTACGTTCACTTAGCGAATTTTGAAAGTATGGCCCCAGGCCAGTTGCATGATAATGATCGCAGTTAGCATTCGAAGGTTTTACTGGCTGGCACTACTGTCCTTGTGTACAAGCACCTACAATGGCTGTTATAAATGGGCTGTCCTGAGTTTAGGAATGAGGTATGGGGCGCTCACCGATATCGGGGTCACCGGGTACGCCAAGGACCGTCACACTCAGCGGCGTAGACACGTCTATGATCTCCCGCTGGGCAGAGAGGGGGTATGGTTAGGTCTCTCAACTGCATCTTCTTCTCTTTCTTCCTACTCGTTCTTTTCTAACATTATCCCCATTTCCTCTGTCTTCTCTTTCCCTTTACCGCTCTCTATCCTGCTCATTTCAATGGTCTTCCATGACATGACGGTCAATCTTCCGCTGATTAAGCCAGCAGTCAGGACCACATGACCACAGAACCAACCACATGATTTTATTCTAAGTAATAAGACTTTCACATCACCAAATATCGTAGTGAATAAGTTGGAGAGTAATGACCATTAGTATTACAGATGTCCTGATTGTCTGCCTTACTCGCTCCTCTGCCAACTCACGGCCGAGGCTCGAAACACAACTGTTTTTAAAAAAACAATCACAAAGGGACACTTTTCAGTCATTAATTCTGATGAAAGCATTCAATCGAAATAAATCTACGGTGATACCAACAAAAATAATCCGTTATTTGAGGGAGACCAGTAACTTTTAGGACACTTGTGCTCGTGAGTTAATTAGGCGCATTTTTATAGGTGTGTGTTGATAAGGCGTGTATAATGTTGGCATTTGTAACAATCATGTGCGTTGTTGCAGGTTGAATTTAAAATACTTGGTGTTGAATTGTACCCACGTGCAGTTTGGCCGGCAGCTCGGAGCAGCTCTGCCTGCCATTGGTCAGAACCATTTGAATGCTGGCTTGTGATTGGCTGAGTCCCGGTTTAGCGTTGAGGAAGAAGGCGCGAGGTGGAAGGCCAGACGTCGGCGCTCCGTCTATCGCTGCTTCCACGCGCAGCCCTGCAGGTGGCAACCGGTATGAGACCGGTGCATGATCAGCATATGATTAGAGCGTCATAAACGCATGATCAGCACGTAAAAGGTACGTGATTAGCACGTACAAAGACTGCTTGTAATTTATCGACTTGCAGGCAACTCATGCAAACCCCAACAAAATTTGGGGATTAATGTTCGCGGCCGCATTGCCCAGTACTTTCTCTACTCTCATAGCCTTGCCCATGTTTAGGCATGCTTCTGGGTAGAGTAGCCTATGAAATTAATCAAGTGTTAATAACAGTAGGCGCCGTACGCCCGCAGGTACCGCTCAAGTCAGTATAGTCTTCATGGATTGGCAACCACATCATGGCCCTACATCCGCACTTACTACGCCTGTCCACTTTCCTGCAGCCAATGAGGTAAACGTTGCACGTTTGGTTATGTTTTTTTGGTGGAGAGTCCGGGCAAGTGTAGAGGTAAGGCATGCGAGGGTTAAAATTCCATGAAAACTGTACTGTAGCAGTGACCTTTAATTTTAAGTGTAGTTGTGCATGTTTGGCGGTGAGAGTTGGGTCCAGTGCTGGTTAAAGATTAAAATTTGCGCCCAATGGCTGCGTTCAAAAATTTGAATGCTGGCTCAATACTCCAACAGCCATAACAAAAATCCTAAAACACCGATTTCAACCGTCAAAATTCACTTTTCCGACTTTATGGTGTCTTTGGAGAATAAATAAATCAATCAATCAATCGTCAGTTATGGAAAGATCGGGTTCAAAAGGCCGGATCCCTTGTGAATCAAGTCACGAAAAATTCAAAAATCTGCAACAGGCCATGGGCCTATTTTTTCAGTGCCGACACTTCTATTCTATTCTATGACTAGAGTTGGCTGAGCAGAGTCAGGCCGAGCTTGCCATCTGAACAAAGACTACATTTCAAGCGCGGCTGAAGCGACAAAGAGCGGCTGATTTACGTTCTCTCCGAGTCCTACGCGGCACCTCACCGACCAAAATTTGGATGCAGGCAACAGGTGCTGCCTAGGACTCGAGGAGCACGTAAATCAGCCGCTGAAGTTGTTGGAGTTGT